TTCACCAAAAAAAAAGGTCGAGAAGGGAGAGGGTTGACATGTTGTGGGGTTGTTAACCAATGTCATAGAACAATATGTGTACTAACTGTTTAATGAGAAACTATTTGATCTGTAAACCTTCACCTGAAGTACAATTAAAAAAAAAAAGAAAAAAAAAGCTCAGCAGTTTGAATCCACCAGCCGCTCCTTGGAAATCCTATGGGGCAGTTCTACTCTGTCCTATAGGGTCACTATGAGTTGGAATTGACTCGACAGCAATCATTTTTGGTGGTTGTGACCCTAAATGAAACAGACTCAGAGCACGAGGTTTTGACTCATCATATTTCAGCCCACACTCTGCCACTTGCCATCTGTGTGACTTTGAGCAAGTCACTTAGCTACTCTGAGCCTCAGTTTACCCATCCATGATCCCTCCCTGGAATCCATTATCCCTGCCCTGTTCTAGCTCACAGAATTATTGTGAGAATATAATAAGAAAGAAAACTCAAATAAGATGAGACCATGCGTGCAAAAGTGCTTCCAAACCTTCAATTTTTATGCAAATGTTTTACCTAACTTTGCTTCTTTCTGCTGGATTGCATACCCTTGGAATCATTCACTTCTCCTTGGTTCACTTGAAGTGTTTTATTTACTATGCTTTCTGGCAGTATTTTTCCCTGTTTGCTACTTTATTTTATACGTAGTATATACCCTCAATGAGATGGATTGACACAATGGACTCAGACATACCAATAACCATGAAGATGGTGCAGGACCAGGCAATGTTTCGCTCTGTTATCTCAGACATACCAATAACCATGAAGATGGTGCAGGACCAGGCAATGTTTCGCTCTGTTATACATAAGGTCACCATGAGCAAAAGCCGATTCAATGGCACCTAAGAACAACATACATGTATATATATGTATGTATGTATATATAGACGCCCTGGTGGTACAGTGGTTAGGAGTTTGGCTGCTAACCAAAAGGTCAGCAGTTCGAATCCACCAGCCGCTCCTTGGAAACTCTATGGGGCAGTTCTACTCTGCCCTATAGGGTCACTGTGAGTTGGAATCCACTCAACAGCAACAGATTTGGTATTGGGTTTGGTCTATGTATATATAAGGTGTCCCTGGATGGTGCAAACGGTTAAGCGCTCGGCTTACTAACCAAAAGGTTGGCAGCTTGAGTCTACCCAGAAGTACCTCGAAGAAAGGCCTGGAGGTCTACTTCTGAAAAATCACAACCATTGAAAGCCCTATGGAGTGCAGTTCTATTCTAACACACATGGGGTAATCATGAGTTGGAAGTTGGAATTTACTTGACCACAACTGGTTTGGCTTTTGTTTGTGTGTGTGTGTGAGTGTGTGTGTGTGTACATACACACACACGTATACAAGTATCTATGTATGTATATGGAAACCCTGGTGGTGTAATGGTTAAGAGTTCAGCTGCTAACCAAAAGGTCGGCAGTTTGAATCCATCAGGCACTCCTTGGAAACATATGAGCAGTTCTACTCTGTCCTATAGTATCGCTATGAGTCAGAATCGACTCAACGGCAATGGGTTTGGGTTTTTTGATTATGTATATATATGCGGGGGGGTATGATGTATGTGTGTGTGTATATGTAAATGTATATATACACATACATATTCTCCTTCCCTACTAGACTATGAGTCCCCTGAGGCAGGTTCCATATCTTTCCCATCTCTGTCATCCACTGATTAGCAACTGTCCCCAAGAAACACCTGTCACTGGAACAGGCATTATATTTTTTAAAAACACAAGATAATTAGTAGATACTGCATAACAATAATAGTAAAAACATCAATAAACTTACCACTTATCGCACACTTTCTAATTATCAGGCAGTCTCCTAAGCACTTTACAACTTCTAATCCTACCGAAAACTCTAACAGATAAAGAAACTGAGCTCTAGGGAGATTAGGTTACTCATCCAAGGAGATGTAATCAGTAAGTGGCAACGTAAAGCCGGTGTCTCAGTACACTGTCCCTGGACAATGCGAATACTTCACTTGTCTAACTAAGCCAGCCTCGCAAACTGAGCCATTGCAGGTTTTCACCGTTCCCCAAGCTGATTTCCATTTAAGGCTTATAAATAGGCTGGGCGATTCACATGCCCCATGAGCAGCCCAGCCCGCACGCCACTGAGGCTCCGTTTTGAGCGCAGCCCCCAGAACAAGCCTATTTTAATGCATGGAATGTCATTGAAAGCAGCTGGTGTACAACTGCCCTCAGAAAGACGCATTCTCGGGGCTCACATTGCACTTAATTGCCCTGAATTCCACTTTCTTATCAAGGCCCCTGACTGGCTTGCAGGAAGTTGGGTGGAAGTTTTATGAAGTGTGCCCCGTCAATCAGAAGAGGAATGGAATAGCTTCAGCCCTGGAGCGTCCAGCCAAGTCCCCGGCTCCGTTCTCCCTCCGGCTGCAGTGAAGGCAGAGCTGACACAGCACAGTGTGTGTCCTGGGGAAAATACATCCCCTA